TTTTAGATACCTGAAAACTGCTATCATGTCCCCTCTCAGTCTTCTCTTTTCCAAACTAAACAAACCCAATTCTTTCAGCCTTCCTTCATAGGCCATGTTCTCAAGACCTTTAATAATTCTTGTTGCTCTTCTCTGGACCTTTCCAATTTCTCCACATCTTTCTTGAAATGCGGTGTCCAGAACTGGACACAATATTCCAGTTGAGGCCTAACAAGCACAGAGTAGAGCGGAAGAATGACTTCTCGTGTCTTGCTCACAACACGCCTGTTAATGCATCCCAGAATCACGTTTGTTTTTTTTGCAACAGCATCACACTGTTGACTCATATTTAGCTTATGGTCAACTATAACCCCTAGATCTCTTTCTGCCGTACTCCTTCCTAGACAGTCTCTTCCAATTCTGTATGTGTGAAACTGATTGTTCCTTCCTAAGTGGAGCACTTTGCATTTGTCTTTGTTAAACTTCATCCTGTTTACCTCAGACCATTTCTCCAATTTGTCTTGATCATTTTGAATTATGACCTTGTCCTCCAAAGCAGTTGCAATCCCTCCCAGTTTGGTATCATCTGCAAACTTAATAAGCGTACTTTCTATGCCAATATCTAAGTCGTTAATGAAGATATTGAACAGAGCCGGTCCCAAAACAGACCCCTGCGGAACCCCACTTGTTATGCCTTTCCAGCAGGATTGGGAACCATTAATAACAACTCTCTGAGTACGGTTATCCAGCCATTTATGCACCCACCTTATAGTAGCCCCATCTAAATTGTATTTGCCTAGTTTATCGATAAGAATATCATGCAAGACCGTATCAAATGCCTTACTAAAGTCTAGGTATACCACATCCACAGCTTCTCACTTATCCACAAGGCTCGTTATCCTATCAAAGAAAGCTATCAGATTGGTTTGACACGATTTGTTCTTTACAAATACATGCTGGCTATTCCCGATCACCTTACCACCTTCCAAGTGTTTGCAGATGATTTCCTTAATTACTTGCTCCATTATCTTCCCTGGCACAGAAGTTAAACTAACAGGTCTGTTGTTTCCTGGGTTGTTTTTATTTTCCTTTTTATAGATGGGCACTATATTTGCCCTTTTCCAGTCTTCTGGAATCTCTCCCGTCTCCCATGATTTTCCAAAGATGATAACTAGAGGCTCAGATACCTCCTCTATTAGCTCCTTGAGTATTCTAGGATGCATTTCATCAGGCCCTGGTGACTTGCAGGCATCTAACTTTTCTAAGTGATTTTTAACTTGTTCTTTTTTTATTTTATCTGCTAAACCTACCCCCTTCCCATTAGCATTCACTAGGTTAGGCATTCCTTCAGACTTCTCGGTGAAGACCGAAACAAAGAAGTCATTAAGCATCTCTGCCATTTCCAAGTTTCCTGTTACTGTTTCTCCCTCTTCACTGAGCAGTGGGCTTACCCTGTCTTTGGTCTTCCTCTTGCTTCTAAAGTATTGATAAAAAGTCTTCTTATTTCCCTTTATTCACATAGCTAGTTTGAGCTCATTTTGTGCCTTTGCCTTTCTAATCTTGCCCCTCCATTCCTGTGTTGTTTGCCTATATTCATCCTTTGTAATCTGTCCTTCTTTCCATTTTTTATATGACTCCTTTTTATTTTTTAGATCATGCAAGATCTCGTGGTTAAGCCAAGGTGGTCTTTTGCCACATTTTCTATCTTTCCTAACCAGCGGAAGAGCTTGCTTTCGGGCCCTTAATAGTGCCCCTTTGAAAAACTGCCAACTCTCCTCAGTCGTTTTTCCCCTCAGTCTTGATTACCATGGGACCTTACCTATCAGCTCTCTGAGCTTACCAAAATCCGCCTTCCTGAAATCCATTGTCTCTATTTTGCTGTACTCCCTTCTACCCTTCCTTAGAATTTCAAACTATGATTTCATGATCACTTTCACCCAAGCTGCCTTCTACTTTCAAATTCTCAATGAGTTCCTCCCTATTTGTTAAAAGATCAAAGCACAAGTCATAATATGGCTCAGGTAATGCACTAGAGAATGAAACTGCCCCATAATACAAAGGGTAAAACAAATCAACCTTGTTAGACTTTTGACTTACCCCATTGATCACCAAAATAAAGGTACATGAATGCAGAATATATATTTTTCTTGGTGTCTTTGTGGCTTAAACAGCTGAATGGAATTTAAAAATTAAAATTCTGGACAAAACTATTTTCTATGTGAACATGACTTATACCGAGCTTCCAGCTGAAAAGACACTGCCCATTACATGGAAAAAAATCCTCTGGTTTTACAAAGGAAATAGTGACTTAAATTGAATGCTAACAAAACTAGAATAAAATATTCTGGGAGGTGGAAGGAGAATTAGTATGGCTTTGTATTCTCCAGGAATAGAAAATCACCTTATTTCTTAGTGTCTGATCCTGTTCCCCTTGACTTCAATAGGAGCAAGTTCTGATTCTTAAGTTTTCTGTCAGAATGTTAAGCCATGTTTTATCAGTGAAACTCTATTAGGTAACCTTCATTCATATGGTGTTATATATTTTTTGACAGGATATGGGGGAGATGCAGACAAAAAATTGTTTGCAGTTGTACTGTATAGTGTCTTATTGAACATGCTGTCAAAAGCTTTTCAAAGGGAGGTTGTATCCCCATTTTACAGATTGAAAGACTGAGATAGAACAATTAAGTGACTTGACTAAGGAGATGCAGGAAGCCAGCAGAAGATTTCCAAGTCCCCTTTCTTTCATCACTAAGACATAAATGAACAGATCCTACATTTATCAGAAATAACATTTTCTGATGTAAATTATTTGTATCAACTAATGGTAAAGTTTCTGTGAATGAGGGACAGTTAGGTGTACCTTAGGCTCTGACCCTGTGTAAATGTATTGTTCAAAACCTACCAATGTTTAAATGCAAGTCAAAGACTTGAAAGGAGGGACGCAATAAAAACAGCAGTGTAGAAAGCTTTCACCTATGTGGAATTTAATTTTTTAGGCTGAACAACATATTCTGTCACCTCTCTTTTATGATTCTACATTTCCCATATAAATAATTTACAATAGCAAGACAAACAGCAGGTTGGTGAATGTCAGAGACAAATGTGGATCTAAACACTCTGGGATTCCTGTCATCAGGAGGGGCAGTTAAAGAGGCGAATGTCAGTGCATGTGATGGCTCTTAATTTTGCATGAAATATTTTTGTTTTAATCAGTGTACAAAGCCCAGAATCAGGGTCAACGCTAAAAGACATTTTAAAGAAAATGATTAACAGGCATGCAGCAGATGGAGGTTATAACAACCCCTCCTCCCCACACACTAGTGCTGCTTCCCACACCAAGACTTTTCTCAGCAGAAGGCAAAAGGGCACCTTTTCTGTCAATCTTGGGATGTTAGTCATAAGGAAATGTGTGTGAGGGACAGAGGAGGAGAGTAAACCCACACCCAATGCTGGATGCTCCGGGGAGCTGCCTGATGGGTCCTGAGGTTGCAAGGAATGCCATGGTGTAAATGGGTTCTGACATTCTATTTTATACCATTTCCTTCTGGATACAGTGAGTGAGATTACATGGATGGTTCAAGTTTGAAAATGATTTGCTTTCCAAGATCACCTACAGAGACTTCTTTGTATCGTGCTCTTTACAAACTTAGACCTGATGCTGAAAACAGGTGCTGAGCTTTTACTATAGCGAATAATCCACTTCATTTCAGCTAGACTACTCATCATTATAAAGTTAAACATCTGTGCGCTTGTAGGATGGGGCCACAGACTAAGAGACAGTCCCAGCGTTCACCATCTATTCGTGACAAAACACTCATGCCCATTATCTATTGATTAACTCCCAAGATTATCCCTCTTCGTTACGTCCCCCTAACATAGGGGCAATTGGAATGGGCGGGGGGGAGATATGTCTTTAACAATGCGGGGAATGGACAATTGCAGTTGATTATATATAGAATATGATCACATCGCCTCTGATTTCTCTAGCATCAAAGTGCTTGGCAGGCACCTCTATTGTAGTTTTGGCTTATTGTAGCCACGTGAGCGCACAGTGCGCGGTGTACGAGTGAGGGTCATTCCACGGAACAGGGATCAAGGCAGATCTCGGCAAAAAAAACCCTTTTTGGATACTCGCCCCTGCTCACTTGTACCGTTCTTCCAGCAATGCCTCTGCCTTTCTCGATCTCAGCTTCTCCTTTGGGGGCGGGGGGGGCTGATCCAATAGGCTCTGAGAGGGGGATCCGACGAGCACAGGAGTCTCCAGGCTGTCTCTGCTAACTGCAGGCAAACGAACCTGAGTGGAGCGGGGGCATCAGGCAGAATGACGCTGACCCGAGATGCCATGGGAGGTGGGGCTTGTGCCGCCCAGCCCCCAAGGAAGGGGCTGGGTGACTTGGGCAGCATCCCTGAGCGAGGCACATGGGCTGTTCCTGGGTAGCAATACTGGCCGCTGGTGGAGCTGCTGCTCTCTCTCCCAAGCCTGCCAAAACAAGCTCTTCAAGTTTGGGGTTCTGCTCAAAAGAAACTGAAAGCGGGATTCCCTTGCCTGCCTCTCCGGGCTCTGCACGGGGCACGCAGCGGGGCCAGCACAGATGGATTTAATTCTAGTCCTTTGGGCTTGCGTAGCCTCTGCGAGAGCAGGTAAGAGTGGGTGACCCACTCGCCGGAGGAGGCTAGGGGCAGAGCTGCAAAGTGCATCTTTGCAAAGGAGCAGCTCGCGTCTGGGCGGATGATTGTTAGTAAAGGGCTGGGTTGTCTCCCCGTGCAAAGGCGATCGGCACCTGCAGCTTGGCCAGTGGGTGCGGTGGGGAGATGAACAGCGCAGCGAAGGCATAGGAGAGCGGGTCGCATTATTGAATAGCATCGCAAATAATCAGTATTATCACGGTCATCCTCCAGCTGTGAGCTAGCTAATGCTCTGGGCTGTATGTGTGTGACTAGCGATGTTCGGGAGTGGATGGGTTTTCATGCAATCGTATCGGGAAAATCAGCCACATGGATGCAATTATCTGGGAAGGAAAAGTGGCACACTCTTCGGTGCTACGTACCTTGCTGTACCAGGGCCACCAGCAACACCCGAGCCCTCGGCGCAGCTCCTCAGTGCCCTGGGAAGGGTTGGGTTGCATGCTACAGCGACTGCTTAGAGAACTCGGAAACTTTCCTTTGCTTTGGAAATAGCTCATTTCGGGTCATGCCAGTCCAGCTCCTACTCCACCTAGTTCGGTTGGAAAGCAGGCTTATTTCCACACCGGCTGCATGTTTAAGGTGGCAGCAGGCTGGACTATTATCATTAGTTGTTGCTGCTGCTGGAAACGTGCCTCCGAGGCCGTGCCTGAAATAAACATGTGGACGCAGCGATATCTGTGTTCAGATTTCCCTCACTTAAAACCGTTCCCATGTGTTTGAGATTAGTGAGATCCGCTCGGACAGGGCATGCACCTGCTGAGGATTTCCCCCTGCTATAGGCTGCTGAAAGCAGCCGACTCCTTTCTCCCAAGGAAAAATAATTTTGCTTAGATTTCACTTTGGGGTTAGGCTGAGGTGGGGTTTTTTTGTGGGGTCCGCCACTGGGGATTTCAGACTCGCTTATTATTGGCTTTACACATGGGTGGTTCCCCTGGCTTTACAGTGGAAATAGTACTTCAGCGAATATTAAGGTTGGGATAGGAACGGCTGGCAGTCTTGAAATCAGAGGTGAAATTGGCATATTAAAACTGCCCTTGTAAAACCCACGGTCAATCGCATAAAAATATCAAGCTACCAGGTCTTTGTGCAGCTGCAACTGGCGAGTAGATCAACCCCCCCCCTTATTTGTGTGGGCTTCTCACCCAGGAAAAAATCCTCACTTACTGACTTTTTAATATTCTCTATGGGGATCGTTCTTATTTCGCCAGTCTCCTCCAGGTTAGCCCTTGCTTCCTGTGTTCGCTGTAGCAGTATTTAAGAACCGTTCTCTCAGGAAAGGCTTATGTGAGGCAAGATTTAATAATGAAAAGTTTCAGGAGTCTGCCTCTCTCGCTCCCTGCTGTTTGTTCACGGAGGGGAAGGATTTGAAGTAGGGGCAGGTGAAGGCTTAGGAAAGCACACTTTTGAAAAGGAAAAATATCAGGTCTCTCAGGGGTTCTCTTTGACTCAGGCAGACCACAACTGCAGGCAGAGTTTTGTGGCGTAGTCTCTCCTTTAATAATGTTGGGAGCATCCTTTACAATGTTGGCATTAAACAGTAATTTGCCAGAGTAGACGCAGACCCATACAACAGACTGACTAAAAAGCTTCCTTATTTTTGAACAGTCTTTCTTTTGTATGAATATAAAAATACATTTTTATTCCGACAAATGCAGGCTGTTTTTGAGAAGGACTTTACAGAAAGTCTCCTGATCATTTTGAAAGCAGGCATAACAGATCACACATGAGCTTATATGTTGATATCTTTCATCTGCAAGTGTTGCTATATTGACTGCAATGGGGGCCATTTTAATTAAAATGTGTGTTTTAGTAGGAACAATGCTTCTTTGTAATATAGCCTCCATGGGCATTTAGGAATGGTTAAAGACCTGGCAAATCCATAGGAACTGTTAGGCTGAGAGTTCCAAATCCCTAATTTAAAGAATGAATAGAAATAATATAACAGAAGCATGACTTTCTTGTGGAGTCTTTGTTCCCTTTACTCTTGTGTAATTTACTATTCTAAGTAGGTACTGATTTAGAGTATGTTAGGGGGATGTTTTCTTGAAGATGTGCAAATGATATTTTCAAGGAAACTACTTTGAAAATATATAGTAATTTTACTAAGGAAATCAATGTGTAAAATGGCAACTAACATCAGAAAGTATTACAGTATCACCCCATTATCTAAGATCACTAGAATTTGAAAGGTGTGACATAACAATGTCTAGGGAGAAAATATCTCTTGTTTTCACAGCTAATATAACACCAGTATTGTATGTTGACACTCCAAAAGGTAGTCAAGACTAATCTGAGATTAATTTATTTGGCATTGTGAAGCCATTTGGAAAGTTCTATGTGCAACAATTGCTATCCTGCTGTTAACAGTCAAAGGTAAAATACATGTTATAGAGTTCACTTCCTGCTACCACTCAACTAGCAAATATTTGTATGAGACTGACTAGATTGTATCAAGTCCGTTTCTACTTAAAGTTCCCTCCCCAGTGCAACCTAGATGTGTACATATGTAAAGTATAAAGGAACGTATAATCTCTTTGTTTTGTGTTTGTACAGTGCCTAGCATAATGAGGTCCTGGTCCATGATTAAGGCTCCTAGGGGGTTCTAAAAGTAATAATTTATATCACATAATTTATGCTTTCTGTGTACCAATCCATTTAATTACAGAGAGTTTCCCATGCTTCCTGAACTCAAGTTTCCAAAGTGGTGATAAAGGAGCAAGTAGACAATGCAATTTGTCAGAGATGTTAGATTGATTTAATTTCTTTCAGGGATTTCTTGGTGACATCATTCATATTATTGAATTATAGGCTCAATCCTGTAACATACTGTATATACTACATTCAACTCTTCATTAATAAGGGCTGAGTTTTTTTTCTGTCCTAACTCAGACAAAACTCTCACTAAGTGACTTAAGGAATTGGCCAACTGACTTCAGTAGGAGTTGAGGGCAGTGAGTACCATGTGGAATCCTATCCATAGTTTGCACAACTTTAAAAGAAACAATATAAAGGCTAATAGTTCTCGTTTAAAGGAGAAAATGGGATTTTCCAATTTTTTTGTTCTACTTAAAGGACAAAACATAAAATGCTGGATGCTAATAGAGATACGTGTGATTTTCTTTGTATGAGTCTTTTACTTAAGATCTCTGAAAAAGAGAGTAGGAGACTCCAGGGGGACCAGAGACCTGCTTATAAAATAGAAGCTATTTGTTGTTTAATTATTAAATAACCAGGGTTTTGAGTGTCTGTGTGCAGTCTCAAGAGCCAGCTTAAGAAAATGACTAGGTATTTAAAACAATGTATGGGCTTGCTAAAGAACTGCTATGCTATTGTAATAGTTTCCTCTTTGGAAAGCTTGTGATAGTTGTTGGAGGGAGGCACAGTATAGCTGGTGGGCCAGACTCTCAGCTTGTGTGAATTGAAGTTAATGGAGCCACATTGATTTATACCAGCTCAAGCCTGCTGCTGTTTGAAATCAGTAGTTTTAAAAAAAATAGTAAGGCTATTGTGCTTAATCTGGTCATCTATTTTTGCTGTGTTAGGGCCCAATTCTGCTCCCATTGAAGTAGGTGGCAAAACTTCCATTGACTTTAATGGGTTCAAAATTGGAGCTTATTTGGCATGGTTTAGTGGTCCATTGTTACAGTTTAAGACATTTTTGGACTGATCCAGCATCCAACGATAGCGCTATAACATCTCTCATTGACTTGAATCGGCACTGGATCGGGCCCTTAGTATTTGGAACCACATATTCCGATCTCCGCTGGGTCAGCTCAGCCCTTCATTCTTCCTAAGTAGATCATTTTAGTATCATAGAGTTTATATGGGGTTTTCTTTTGGATGAGACCTTAAAGAAACAAAGTCCGATCTGTTTTGTGTGGACAGTAAAGCTCCCCAGATGCTTTTTTGCTTTGACGTCCTTAGTCAAAATTTGTCCTCCCCTGACTGTTGTTGTTGTTGTTTTTTTTTTTCTGCTGACCTCTACCTAGAGATGGATGCATTTCAGCTGTATGCTGTGAGGCAGTGTAGGATGCTTTGAGATGAAATGCCCTATGTAATATAAGCTTTAGCATTACCATTTATTATCCTTATCTCTCTCCATTTTGGCCAAAGAGAGGTAGTTTAAAAACAAAACAAACAAAACCCCCCAACAGTTTCTAGTAATGGGTTTAGCCAGACAGAAGTAAACTTGTTCAGGATGATTTGCAGTTAGAAGAGTTGGTTCAGTGTTAGGAGTGTTAGCTATCACAGGATGTGGTAGTGCCAGTCTGAAAGAGATGTCAAAGTCTCTCTGAAATTCAAATATTGTAGTTTCTGAGCATCTGGCCTGGATTAAGCCAAAGAGAACCTTAAAGTCCAGTGTTATTACAGAATTTCTAGGAAGTTTGTATCTCCCGGTTTATATTGTAAGATCAGTTTATTCCAGTTGTCTTAATTTTCTACAGAACTGTTTAGTCTTCTATTAATATGAAAGCATTAGGGCAGCACATACTAAATAAACTTAATTTGGCAAGCCAGAAGTGTTTTTATGAAGTCATATCTTCCTGTCAATGGGCTCAATCCTGCAAGGTGCACAGTACTCTTAATTGCCACTGTTGGAGTGAGGTTAAAAGAGACCACTTTCAAGTTTCCTTTTCAAGAGCTTTTATTACTCTCCATGCATTTTATGAAATGCTGTCTTCTACATTTAGCACAAGATATCATCCCAAGGTATTTAATATTTGAGTAAAGGAAAAGGAGAAAAAAGTGTTTTGTGGCATAATTGATTTATAAGTAGAATTTCTGATTTATTCTTGTTCATTATATACCCTGATAGTTTTTCAGAGAGTCTTTTAAAATCTCAAACCAGGATACTTGCTGCCTAACCGCTCAAAGTCCTGAAAGAGAAAAAGAATGAATTGAAACATAAAACTGGAGATCACTTAGTGGAAAGCCACCTGACTATACACTACAGGTGAATTCTTGGCCCCCTTGAAGTCAATGACATTGACTTCAGTGGAGTTAGGATTTTATTCTAGGAGCCTACTCCTTCTCCTAGAATGAAGTTAATAGCAATGCTTGTTAGGAGCAGGATTGGATTCTACAATAGGTTCTTCCTGTATATGCCAGGCACAGATCTCATATTACCTCAGCTACCATGCTGATGAATGGACCCTTGTCAGAACAAACCATGCTGGTTTCTTGCTATATCTCTTGTTCCTTACTGGATAAAGGTTGCATATTTAACCACCTAAAGTGTTCTGTGAACAAGCAGCTGTCCTGAGCATCTGAGCCTAAATTAGTGCAGCAGTTTTGTTACCACTTGGGCATGAATACCCACTGTCACATGATTTCCATGCCATCACTACAGATATCACCCATTTCCATCAGGATGCTAAAGAATACCCTATTATCAGCAATTCATGGGGGGCATGTTGTCCAGTTTGGAATATATACTACATATAACTTATAGTGAATGGTGGAAGTAAGTAACCTAATCTATTAATATTAAAGAGTAGCTGCAGCTCGACATGGAATGCTAGCATGCTTCAGTTGATCATGAAAGGAGTATTCAGACTTCAGTAAGTTCTTGGTAATAGTATAGCTCAGTGAATCTGAGCATTGCTGGTCTGAGTGATTACTCATTTCCTCTGCCTGCTGTTTTCTTTCTGTCTTCATTTTGTTGCTTTTTATTATAATTGGATAAGTTGTGTTTAATTGTGATAGTTCTTCTGCCATGCCATACTTATGTGTTAAATGTAGTGTTTCTATTGTGTTCTAAAATCTGAGAAGATAAAAGGTACTAGCTTAATGGTGGTCAATGGAGAAGAACATCTTTTCTTTACATCTGGGGAGGTTACTGTCTCTTAAGTGATTACTGTCCATAGTATCTGCACATCCCTATACTGTACTAAAATTCTTTGTTGTTGTAATGCTTTGATTTAAAATGAAAATTGATTGAACTTTCATTTTTTTAAAACAGTTGTCGGATTTGGAATGGATCCCAATTTACAAATTGATATTATCACAGAACTGGATCTTGTGAATACAACTATTGGAGTTACGCAAGTGTCAGGACTACATGCTAGCAAAGCATTTTTATTCCAAGGTAAATCAAACATCTTCATTTACTTAAGACAGCCTCTGTCTCCATGATTACTAAGAGACTGGATGTAAAACATATTCCCTGTACACAATGCTTGCAGTTTACTATGGGTTCTGTTGTTCCTAAGATACTGTTATTCTACTGAAATATGTTAATGGTGTTTTTACAGGGATGAAATCAGGTCATTTAGGCCCAAAATTTCAATGAAAACATTTTTTGGGTGTGTTTAAACATTCCTCTGTTTAATTTCCAGTTGAATACTCCCACTGAGTTCCCTTGTATGGGCCCAGTTGCATGCATAGATAAGGGGACAGTATTGGAGCCCTTTGTAGTGTATTGATGCACACTGATAGTAATACACCAGTCTCTGTCAACTTCAATGGAATTGCATGCATAAGAAAGGCAAGCAATATTTATCTTCACTCTCAGCAGAGTGACCAGCACAAAGTAAATGAATTCATGGTAAAAATAAGACTCTGATTTCTAAAGTAATTTAAGTTTCAGTATTGTAAGGTGGAACTGGTAAGTGATTTAAAAGTGGGATTTTTAACTGACCAGTGGATGAAGTCCTGGCCTCCATGAAGTCAATGTTGCGTTTTGCCATTGATGTTAGTGGGGCTAGGATTTCAGCCATTGTCACTTAAAGCCCTAAACAGCAGAAGAAATGAGTTGCTACAATATGATTACATGAGCAAGTAATATGAACAGAGATATTTTAGTATAACTTTTCTGTAACTTGCTTAATACTTACATGAAACACTGTCTTCAATGGCTCTGGTTTTTTTGCTTTGGTAACAATGTAGAGGGACAAATGGCCTGATTCTGATCTCACTTACACTGGTTTTATTCCATGAACTTCAGTAGTTATGCATGATTTACGTTCATGTACATGATACAAGAATCAGACCTATAACTTAGCCTATTCTTTACCCAGCTGGTAAATATGTACAATATGAAGAGAGAGAACAGGTGTTCTAGCAGAGAGATTATTGAAGATCATATTTAAGAAATTATGCAAGGTTCACCTTCCTTTCAGGACTCAGAGTCAAATGGTTTCTGCTAATTCCTAGATGCTGGAATTATTATCAGCAACATCTAGAATATAGACATCAAATTAAACATCTGAAATGTTTTGCTTTGGATACTCTTCCTAAAAAGTCAATTTTTTCATTTTGTGCTGGAGCACTCCGTAAGTAGTTGAGGCGAACAGTGTTAAAAGCGCAGTCATTCCTCAGCAGATTGCAATGTCCTAATTGGCTTAAACTATTTTAAAATTTCTCATGGTGTTTTTTGGAGTTAATTGAGAACACATTGACAAACTGTCACCATAGATTTTCACAGTCTAATAGTGCCTAACGACAAAACTAAAAAGATCTGCGTGTGCAACCCAGGGCTTGTTGCAACAGTTGATATTAAAAGTAAATTTTAAGGGATAATGATTGTGATCTTATATTTCTTTAGCTCCATTTGTCTTGGAAGAGCCCCAAAACACTTTATGAACTTTGCAAACTAACATAAAAACTAAACATGCTGTGAAGTTCATCCACCACTGAAATGCAGCCACCTCTGGAGTAAAATGTTCCTAGAAACTCTGAACAAAAGTTCAGAACAGTAAGTGAAGAATAAAATTCAGGGTCTTAAATTTATTATATAAAGTTCTTTATAACTGAGATTCTCCCCAAGAACAAAATTCTGCCCTTAGGTGCTTGTAGATAACCCTCAGTGCTTGAGCAATTGCCTCTTGCATACCACCCCTCCCTGCCCCCGCTCAGCAGGGTGGCTAGGGTAGAATTGCTCTAGGTATATAGTTTCAGTTCGGATTGTGTCTGGGACAAGACTCTTGACCCAAGGGTCCTTGGTTGTGTTACTTGTTCCTGGAGAAGGTCAGCTGGAAAGGGTCTCCTTCAGCCTTTAGGCTAGGATGCAAATTCTAGATTATTCCTACCTAGTTTTTTGGGGCTTTCCCCTCATTATTTATTATTTTGTTGAAAGCCAACAGTGTGGTTGGGGCTTTATAAGATGCAGAAGTCAAATAAATGTTTCCTTTCATTGAGTAAAGTAGCTGACCGTAGGTCAGTGGTTTTCAACCTTTTTTAATTTGTGGACCCCTAAACATTTTTGAATGGAGGTGTGGACCCCTTTGGAAATCTTAGACATACTCTGTGGATCCAAAGGGGTCCACAGACCACAGGTTGAAAATCATCACCTTAGCACTATGATTTGACCTTGTGCCACACTGTTTGGTTCAGGATAACTCTGCTTGCGTCTGGTTGTTTTGTTTAATGTACATGTTTTTGTATTGGTTTTACTATATGGCACTTGTATATTTATTATTAGCTGGGTTTCCACTGTATTAAATAAATAATAATACTTTTCCCAGTTGAAACTTCAGGGAGAATTTGGGAAGGCAGAACATAAATTACCAGAGTTGGAAATTGGCGACACTAGACTGGAGCACTGAAAGATTGAAGTCTTGATCTTTGTGCTTATTTTATTTAACTTTTTCAATAGTTTTTCAGCATTACGGATTTACATTACAGTGCTTCTAAAATGAATGCCTTATAATAATGACTGGAAAATAGCATCCAGATTTTTTTAAAATTGCAATATTCTGTTGGAGCATGTCACTAATTCACTGCAATTTGTCTCTCCTCATCTGTATCCTCCAAAAGGTGATCCTGTCTTTCAGCTGAGCTTTGCTTTGATCATTTATTGGTGCACTTCACTCTTTAATGCCTGCTTTTCTTTGTTTCGCCTCCTTGCTGCACATTGCTCCAATACCTGGCATCTTTCTCTAAGCCTTCAAAGTGGGGGAGCACCTGCTCTCTACCTGACACTAATGCTTCTGTCTGCATAACTGGAAAAGGGTCTGACACAGATTCACTGGATGATTGGATCATTGTATCAAGACAACAACTGAGGACTCGCCACTATTTGTATATATTTTATCTGTGTGTCCAGGGAGGAATTCTGAGAGTCAGATCTCTGGACTGCAGTTTAAATGATGACTTTATTTTTTTTTTCTGGATTTCAAAGTCCCTTTATACAGTCGCTTCTGAAATTCAGCCGCATTTAAATCCCAAAATGGAAAATGTAGGGGAAGGATTGAGAAATTGTTACTTTAAATATAGGTTTGGCCTGTGTCATGTGATGAGACTACAACATGGTGTTGTTATGCATAGTACTAATAGGTGGCAGCAGAGCACCAGTTCTAAACTTTCTTGGGCCAAATTCTGCCTTTATTTACACCAGCATAAATTCAGAATAAGTCCACTGACTTCACTGGCATATTAGTTACATTGATGTCAAACCAGAGTAATTTTAAGAAGTCAGTGGAGTATTCTGACTTTACACCCGTGCACCTGAGAGTAGGATATAGCGCTGGAATTTGGATTTCAATTTAATACAGACAGAGAGACATATTCAGTCCTGGAGTGTGAGCAGCTGATAGGCAGCATCCTCTACAGTGAGGCACTGAAGTGGGAGTCAGAAGACATGGGTTCTACCATCTATTCCCATAACCTCATTTTATGTCAGTTGGCAAGTTAATTAGGCTGTGGTCCAACTAAGCATGTGAGTAGTCCCATGGAATGCTGGCTGCAGTGCAACAATAAGGCTTTTTTCTGTGTGTGGGAGTGCTAGGTCTCCCTCATTCCTTCCCCCCACAACACTCACAGTGAGGGAACCATAACTTGGCCCTTTTGTATTATATCCAGTGTTAGCACCACTTTTATTTAAGGTTGCTTCCCATTATAAGATCCTGTTTTCAGTGGCTTATAACTTTGCTAAACTTGAGCTGTTCAGGCTGAAATGTACTGTGTTGGGTGTCTGCCTCAGGCTGAAGTTCTGCAGAAGTGACAGCCAAAACAGTTAAGCTGTTTCTGAGAAGGCGGCTAGGGAAAAATACATTGTTTGAAATGTTTAAAAAAGAAAACCTGTTTAAAAAATGTCTTTGGAAAACTCTAGTGCTCCCATGTTTTGGAGCAGGACTTTGACATTTGCCAGGGAAGTGGCCTATATGTCAGGGATGTGCTGTTTGCCATCCTTGTAAAAATGCACCCAGATTTGTCCAAGTTTCAAGCCTTTGAAAAATCAGTTTGCATGGGCTCAGTAGACTTAGATGTAGCAGCTAAAATCTCTGAAGATTCCATCCTCACTGAGCATGTTTGGGGCTCTTGTGCTGACCAGACTGTGTATGTGCAAGCCCCACAAATTAATGAGCATCCTCCATCCCCTAAGTGTGACCTGACTGCTCATTTGCTATCCTCACAGAGGGACTGAGTAGGCACCAGTCCAAGGCTACAGGAGTGAAGGTGGATTTTCCCTATAACACCTGTTCTGGGATGAGGCCAGGCACTAGGACTGAGAGCCGGGATGCTGTCTCTCCTGTGTTCTGAATGACTCCTTGCTGGTGCCCTGGCAGGGTGGAGGAGGAGATGACTGCCTGACTCAAATACAGAGGAGACAAGAGCTGGACCTGGGGGCTGGCAGTGGAAGGCTGAGGAGTAGATGGGTACAAAAAGCCTGGGTGGGGGACTGTGACTGGAGGCTAGCAGGGGCAGAGTGGAAAATGGGGGCTGGAAGCTGAGTGTAGAAACTGCGACTGACTGGTCAAGAAGACTGAGGACAAGAAACTGGGATGGGGGAGGTCTGGGAATGACTGGGCAAGGATACTGTAACTGGGATCAGAATCCTGAGGCTTGGAGACTGAATGAGTCAGTGAGGAACATGAGACTGTAATGAGGAAGAGACTGAAATGGGACAGGGAGAGGTTGGAGGGGATGGGGCAGAAGGAGTCAAGTTCGGGGTAATGGGCAGAAGAGTCTGTGCCCACTACAGTATGTTTCCCTCCAGAGCCAGGAATGGAACGAAAGATCCTTGAATCTCAGGCAATACCTTTGATGTCAGCAGATATCTGTGAAACTCATTGGCAAAGTGTCCCATCCTCCTCCTCTGCTGGTCCCCATAGAGAATGACATACTGCTACTAGTTACTCCATTAGC